CACACACACACACACACACACACACACACACACACTCACACTCTGAGACTCATGGGTTTGTTCCATGACTGTTTCTGCCTGGCACTCTAATAATTTGACTGGAAGGGTTGAGATGGGAAAAGGAAGCCCAGAAAGGAGAGTTAGAAATCTCCCAATTGGACAAAGCAGAATAAAGGGGCCCATTTAGGTGACTGGCTTTAAGAAGGGCAGATGCGCAAAGGGGAACAGATAGTCTAAGACAGGGACTTGCCTTCCCCATTCCTCTTTTCCCATACTTTCTATGCCCCACTCCCAGGCAAAGCTCCTTATACCTCTGTGTTTAACTGTCTCCAGGAACTGAGATGACCCCTATTCATGATAACAAAAATATCAAAAGCCTTATCTGTGGGGGTGGGAAGGGTGGTCCTGGACCAAAAGAAAAGACTTTATGGAGTCCCAGAGAAGGGATCTATAGAAGGGATTCATACTTTGGGTAGGGGTTGGACTAGCTGACCAAGAAGGTCTCTCCCTAGTCTATGATTCTATGATGCTATGTAAAGTGGGAAAGACTCTTATTCTGGTAGTAAGGGCTAAAGAAAATAGAGATGGGTTTTTGCCTCTACCCCGCCCCCCACCCCCCCACCCAGGGAATAGAGCTCTGAATATGAACTGAGTGGTTGGTGAGAGGCCAGAGGGCTAGTTGTGCTTCCTTGCCTCCGACTCTTTTCCCCCATACCTCTTCTCACACTTTCTAGCTGAGAGTTTTTTGTAAATAAGCCAATAAAAGCACTTGTTCTCTGAACTGTGTCCTATCTAGCTCTGGTGGCCCGTTGGACTTCTAATTGGGTGAGGACAAGGGTGAGGGTGCTGCTTCTTCCAGACTCTGAGCCATCTTTACCGGAGTGTTAAGGCTATGTCCCAATTCCAACCACCAGTCTACAACCCAGACTTGGATAATACTGACTTACGGAAATTTATCCCATTTTCTAGTCAAGTCAAGCCCTTCTTCATCCTTCTCAGTATTTTGCTCTTCACCTCTTCATTCCACACTCTCCTGACCCCAGTCCCCAGTCACTTATCACTAGCACAGGATCTCAATGATTCAGGCAACAGTTTCTCTTTATTTATTTATTTAGTTTGGAAGGGAGGGGAGACAGAACATGGTTTGACCTGGGAGGATGGCCCTGGGCCCTGGGAAGGAAGAACAATGTTACCTGTAGGCCCAGCAGGAATGGGGTGATGAGGATCTATGGGAATGAGATGAAGGTCTGAGATGATCCATTCTTCCCTCTATCCCAACAGCCCTTCATTGTATTCTACATACACACACACACACACACACATACACACACACACACACACACACACACACACACAAAAGCAATGTTACCCACCACTCTGATACCAATGGTACATATGAGAGGGTCTACTCCTCCACCAGAGAAGGCTGGGCCAAGGAGTAGATTCAGGGACCAGAACTCAAAAGCATGGCTAGGAATGCAGAGTTCCTCCCTGGCCCCTGAGAGGCTCCAGTTCTGGGTTTCCATTTCCTCAGAGTCCCAGGAGGGGAAAAACTCTGTTGAACTCCTAGAAGAAGATGGGTCTTGGGTCACAGAAAGTAGAATCCAGGAGTCCGTGTCCCCACATTTGAAGACAGATTGGCAGCAGCTTCCACTCCGTTTCCAAGTCTAGGGACTTTCAGTTTACCAATCAAGAGTCTAGAAATGAAGAGGTTGAATTAAAATGAGGTTGAAACTACTGTTTCTTCACCTCCAGAGGGCACCCACTCAGTACTCAAAGAGTAGTTCTTTCTCCCTTCCCAGATGCTCCACTACTTTCTTCCCCTTTGCTCCGATGCCACAAAGACACTCACCATGGGCTTTAAGCACAGAATGGCCAGACTTTTGCTTCCCTCGGGGTGGACCTTTCTCCATCTCAGGGGGGGAAGGAAGTCTCCCCCTATGTAGCCGATGACTGTATTTATTCTCCATCTCTTCAATCCAGTTTGAATTCCACTCCCACACTGGCAGAGTCAGGGTAGAAGAGAGGGCGAGGTCATCTTGAGGGGAAGGAGGTGGAGACAAGTCTGATGGGGATGAACAAGATATTAGAAAGGTGTCCCCATTGGGGGCAGGTAGGTGGCACAGTGGATAGAGCTCCAGCCTTGGAGTCAGGAGGACTTGAGTTCAAATCTGGCTTCAGACACTCGATGCTTACTAGCTGTGTGACCCTGGGCAAGTCACTTAACCCCAATTGCCTCACAAAAAAAAAAAAGAAAGGTGTCACTCAACTAGTACTTGGCACTCTGCAGTAGGGCTTCATGTCAGAATGGATGGAATAAGGGACATCAGATGGCTGGACATAAAGAATCCTGAGTTGTCTGCTATTAACATGGAAAGAATTGTCCATATCTGGTTTGGTAGTTGGGTAGATCCCACCTGCTCCCTATCTTCATTGAGTCCAGAACAAGAAGAAACATTGGAAACTTCAGTTGGAAGAATTGAGGTTAGAAAGGAAACAGAACTTCCTGAAAATGAAAAGGATGAAACAGAAGAAAGTAACTAAGGAAAGGAAGACTTTAGAATAATTTTCTTGCAGATCTTTGAGAAAATAAAACACTGCGCACATTTGTCTGAGTTCAGAGAGAAACTTGGAGATAGGGAAATGGACAGAATAACAGCTAGGTTTAAGAGACTGGAATTTTTTAACTTGTTACCCTCCCAGAGGGGGGGTAGAAGAAGGGTAGGAGAAGAAGATGTACCATTCTGAAGATACTTGAAGGGTAAAAGGACATACCGCTGAAGACGCAGTCATGCTCCTTGGACTCCAAGCCAAAGCCAAAGCTATCCACAGCCACAGCCAGGGCATGAGCAAAGTTGGCATCAGCAAGAAAGGAACCATCAGAGGAGCTGACAAGGCTGGCCCGGGCACTGAAGGCATTGTCCTCTGAGGCTGAACCCCAACCATTGGCTAGAGAGCCTTCACTGGGTGTAGGAGTGTGGCAGGGGCGGGGTGGACATAGCAGAATGCCTCCTTCTGGGCCTTTTCCACCTGCAGTGCCCTCCACCTCCCCTAGTCCAGAGGCTGATGGGATGCTGATATAGCCATAGCTGGTGGGTGGTGATGGGGCCCTTTGGACAGGGGTACCACTGTTCCTGGAGGGGGACAACGTGTTAGTGTGGCAAAAAGACTTCAGGGGATGGGATCAAAAACTTTCATGCAGGCAATGGTTAGGGGTTGTGAGTTTCAGAAAGCTTCTCCAGTTTTGTTGTTTTACTTCCCTCAGCCCTCCACCCTGTCCTTGCCCTTCCTCTAGCTACTCACCTGGGGGTCTCATCATCATCTTCACTAAGCTCCAAGCACAGGGCCACATCCTCAGGGGTCAGCACATTATCTCTTTCATCTCCCAGGGAGGACAATGAAGAACTAGACAGGTGGCTGGAGGTTGGACTGGGGCCAGAGAGGGAGGAGGCCAAGGGGCTGGGGGGTTTGGGAGAGATGGCTGCCACTAGGGGCAGGGAGGATGAAATCTGAGGCTCCATGAAGTTCTTAACTGATCTAGCCGGTGAAAGAAGATAGATTCATCAACCTGCACCTCCCCCCCTTTTACTTCCCTGCCCTGAATGGCCTTAGGCCTGCCTCACTCCAAGATCTTTGGTAACTCCATATTACTTGCCCAAGCCTGACTTCACAAGGAGCTGAAGTTCCTGATGCTCGTCCCCCATTCCCTCTTACTGAATCTGTTGACCCTTGGTGGGAGCCCCTCGGATGGGAGAAGAGGATGCTGGGGGAAGGGGCCTCGAAGCCAACTCATTCCTGGGATTGAGGAGCTGGGGCCCAATGGCACGCCAGGCAGCCAGAGTCCGGGGTACAGCTCCTGGAGAGCAGAAGCCAGGGTATGAGTGACACTGGGGACCCTAGCAGCCCCTGGCCCTAGCCTGTGAAGAAATGTTATCCCCATGAACTTTGAAACCTTATCAGTTTGATGTGCACCAGTTCTAGAACAAGAGGGATGGTGACAACACAGTTGCTGAGGTCACCTACTATAGTGTTAGAGGAACCCTGGGGTCAGGGTGACTTCTGCATGAACTGTAACTTTGGCTAGGATTTTTTAAACAAACCTATAGGCCAAATTCAGCATGCAGAAGCTGAGCTAAGCCAATTGTTCACACTTGGCATTCTGGGTGGGAGAATGGTCATTGGGAGTGGGGGAGACTATAAAGAAGTAAGAAGGCAGGCCTCTGTTCCTGGCTAAATAATGCCCCACTTCTGGCAGTAAGTACAGTTCAGCACTGGGCAGATATTTTTGGCATCCCTGATTCTCTTCTGCCTATGTACGATTTCTGGTTTAACACTTCACCTTGAAAATAAATGTTCTTGCTTAAAAAATACAAAATGGTCTAGGGTAGAGGTGGGGAACCTGCAGCTGAGAGGCCACATGAGGCCCTCTAGGTCCTCAAGTGCGGCCCTTTGACTGAATCCAAACTTCACAGAGCAAATCCCCTTAAAAGGATTTGTTCTGTAAAAGTTGAACTGAGTGAAAAGGCCGCACCCGAGGACCTAGAAGGCCACATGTGGCCTCGAGGCCATAGGTTCCCCACCCCTGGTCTAGGGTAAGGTAAAAGAGAAAGGAGGATGGCGATTTGGAGTGATCACCATCCATATGTTATTGGGAGTTTGGAGGACAAGACACTAGAATGGTTGAGTATGATCTTTCTTGGAACTAGTCAAATCACTGGACCTGAGTATAGCAGGTATCAAACTTAAAACTGGTCAGGGCCTTAAGCCAGAGTGGAAGCAACCCTGCCTAGTTTCACCCTACGGGACATTTATAAATCTGATCTCACACACACAGACACAACACCCATGGATTTGGGTAAGGATCCACCAAAATGTCTACAAACCATACTCAGGAACTGGGGTACTGAAGCTCAAGGGGAAGCATCATAAACCAAGAAGCAAATGATGGACAATGGA